TATTGTAAAATAATATAAAAAAATTTTTTATCAATTGTGTAACAATTTTGTGACGTTTCAACGTTTCCCCCTGTTGACTTAAAGACGACTTGCTCCATGTGAGATTTTTGTCGCTTAAATCATTTGATACATTATAACTCCGAGAATTTAACCTCATAAATTACGTGTTATATTCAATTTATAAATTACATGCATGAAATGAAAACTAATTTATCGAACTTAGCATAATATTACGTCATTTCACAACTCTATCGCTATTCATGTAAAAGTCGCTTAAGACTAATTTTGGCCAGCATTAAATTAGCGTAAATGCGACTGTTTAGCACTGCATACAGTACCCGGGTCTTATTACGTAAGTTACATCAGTACGTTAGAATAATTTATTATCAATTATTCATCCCTAGCGCTAATAACATTACGTATAAATCATTTATCGATATATTTTTTTTAATGTTTTATTATGTGCTCGATAATAATAATTTCATAAAATTTTTGCAGGATATTAAACATTTAAATATGGCACCAAAATATTATTAAATATTAAAACATAATTTCAAAATTAATTAATTGTTAATACATAATTTATTTAAACAATTTCAATATATATAAGCTTATATAATATACAATAACTAGTATGACAAATCGAAAATTAGAATTAAGTTGTTAAAATAAATATATACCTTGTAGATTATTACATTAATAATCGAAGCTCTTGTTTTAAACAAAGCTTTTATTTTAAAAATTAAATACCACGTTGGTGCACAATTAAAAATAATAAAGAAAAAGATTTCCTCACATTCTTTTCATATGATTGGATTATTGAAAAGTACATATGTACAAAGAGTAACCAAGGTGTAATATCAATTCTAAAAAAAGAAAACAAATTCTATAGCTCTGATGATTTGCTGCGGTTGAATGTAAGCGTTTTTAAACGTTTATTTAATATGACTACGTGCAGCATTTGTCAAATTAGTCATAAATGCTGAATTATTTCTTCTGATAACATTATGCATAAGATGTATCGGCGAAAATCATTGTCATGGAATTGTTCTACTAACTGAAGGCAACTTTATTTAAGAAATCATTCATTGAGACGTTTTTACCCAGTCACAATCCTAAATACAGTATTCCTTATTTTAGTTGATAATGGTAGTAACAGACATCGGTTAAACAAATATAAGATGAAAACCAAGGGCGGTTAAACAAATATATGTTAAAATATTTAAAGATGCTTTGTTAAAAAAAAAAAGTATAAATAGCATTGTAAACGTATTATATCATTGTTATATTTTTTAAAATGTCATTTCGCATCTTCCATTCATTCCTTTTATATATTTTGCTCATTAATTTCTTTAATTTAATTACGCGAATTGACTCATACACTCCTTCCCCTAGATATTTTGTTAATAGCATATTAGTTGAAACAAAATTATATTTTTTGGGAGGTTGGAGTAAAAATCCTGATGGCACAGAGAGTTGCCAAAATAGTGTGTTCTATTTAGATCTTTCTGCACCGTTTGACACGCGAAATAATACACCATGGACAGACCTTACGTCTACTGCTAGCATTCCGGTAAGTACTTGCTGGCAAGTTAGCGCTTTGGGTGGTCCAGACAACTCTAGTATATACGCGTTTGGAGGCATGATGGTAGATGAGAGTAAGAATATGTTATTTTGTCATGCGGTTAGGGAACCTGGCACGTATAAAATAATTTGGATGTCCATAATATAAATTAAAAATTATATATTGGTAATAATAAAAATTTTTTCTAGAGAATTATTAAATATTAGTCAATTAGAGTATGTACGTACGTGAATATAATTTATATATTTTAACTAATACGTACTGTAATAATTTTAACCACTTTGGCATGCAAGTGGCATGTGCCACAGCAATGCTGCCTATGATTATCATGCCAGGTTCCTTACATGCGGTACGTGATTGATTTCTTGACGTGGCCAAATCGTCAATAATAACAAACATTGTTTCTTCTAATTATTAAAGATATCACGCTTAGTGTTAATACAGTGGTATACGAATTTAACACAAAAACTCAACAGTGGAACACACCAAATATTTCAGGAACTCTACCAAAAAGACGAAAGGAAATTCAGATTGTACAGGACAATTCAGGCAAAGTGTATATGTTTGGAGGATTGGCTAATCCTTCAACAGGTTCTACGAATACAAAATGGTTCAACGATATGAACATTTTAGATATCATTGAAATGTCTTGGTCGAAAGTTTCAAATTTCAAAAATAATACACCTCCACTACAAGCTGATTTCACCGCCACCATGCTGAATAATTCAGTCACCGTATATATAGGTGGAAGACAGACTACTTCAGCATCAGGGAAGACTAAAAGTTATATTAGTATGGAAAAGGTACGTGTATACAATTCATCTTCATAAACTTTCTACTAATTGTATTCACTAATCTTATGCACCCTCTATTAAAGATTTGGACATATGATACTAAGAATGCGTCTTGGACATTAGTCGTAAGTATTTCATTCCAAATATCTGTCACAATTTATATACATTTGTAATATTTCATATAATTATTCCATAATTCCGATTTGTAGACTACGATTGGAGATGTTCCTGGTGTTCGTATAGGCCATTCTGCGGTTTTAGGTAAAAAAGCATTCTACGTATAAAATATGTTTTTAATATATTTATTTTACTTATTTAGGTCTAACCAAAAAATATTTATGTTCTAGCGTTAGATGGTCGAATCATTGTATTTGGTGGATATGGCCAAAATTCATCTCCTGCCGATCCTCAGCTTGCCGTTCTCGACACTTCAACCTCACCATTTCAGTGGTCACTTCCTAATGTCTCTAATCCTATTCCGCCAGCATTAGCTTATCATTCTGCCACTTTAATAGGCGATCTGATGATAGTAGCATTTGGTAAATGTCATATTATTTTATTATATATACTTAAATATTTTTTTCGCCGCATATCTCTGTATTTTTGTTTATCTTTTGAATTAATTTTATAGGAAATATCACACAACAGACATCAACAACGTCCGGCGCAACATCTGACATATATATCCTTAACACTAATGACTATACATGGGTTACTTCTACTGACACCAAAATTCTTTCATCTTCTCCAATCAATGACACGACACCAACCGAAAATCCTTCTCCAACTTCAACAGTTTCAACAACTTCAACAACCACACAAGACTATACGACACAAACACCTTCAACCACGATTATTTCGGCTCCAGAAAATGGTGTTATATCACCTCATACGGCAATGATATTAGGTGTATCGATTGGATCTCTTAGCTCTGTAGTCGTTATAGCTATTTTTGTTTTATTATTTGCACGTTGGAGAAAGTTCAAACAAATGTATAGGAATAAGGAAGTCTACCCTGGTATATTAGATACTAATTCTACGACTTACCTTCAATATAAATAACATATATGTATATATCGATATTAATTTGGTTATATAGATTATTTATTAGACTGTTCATACTGTATATTATAATATGATTTTTTTAGACATACCGATACGTACATACGTACATATTTAAAGATGTCCGTACATACCTTTACGTATTCATAGAGTTTGTTCTGCATTTAGTTAAGTCACGTGCACAAATGGTAAATTTACTGCCGATATTAAATTATTAGATATTACATCATTTATCTTTATCAATAATCTTCTGTTATCATATAAGTGTCACACGATTAAAAAATAAGATTAAATATAATCATTATCTAAAAATTTACAAATTTATTATTTAATTAATAACAGAAAAATTCTGAATAAAGCCATTTATTAATTAATAATGATGATAATGATTAATTATCATTATTTTGATAGTCTTAATTGTTGCATAAAAAATCAAATAATGTAATAATAAAATAATGTACATTTATATCAAAAACTTACTCCGTTTCCGTAGCCCACCGAATGTTACAATGATGATTATCATTAGAAACTGATTGTAATGGGTACAATTATGAATACCTATGCATGGCAGTGCATATTCACATTTCACAAGTATATAAAAAGTATAAATGTATCGATGATCATCATACACAATAAAAATTCGTCGCAAGCCCGCAAAATTCACCAACACTCCTTTCTTAGTGTAAGAAACTGGCCAATAAAAAAAACGAACGTCTATTTGTTTACATGCTACCGATTAATATCATTACTTGCCCTTATTTAGAGCTGGTTCATGTCTCCTGTGTTTCGAAAATTTTTTTCTTTATTCCTCTAGTTGTCATCGAGCGAAAAAAGAACACAACGAAAGACATTTTGGAATTATTTAGATAAGAATCTATATTTTATACCCGTAAAAAAAAAAAAAAGAAAGATTATTTACAAAAACACTTGCCAAATTTCTATCACAAAAAAAAATAAAATAAAAAGAAAAATAAAAAAAGAAAAAGCCGTTAAATTGTACTTAAAATTTTATTATACCCGTTGAACTTTTGTTAGCACATAATATAAAAAGCCATGACTACAAAGACCGCAGTAGATATGTCAAAAAAGAGGTCAACAATGGTAATTATTGTTACCTATCATTTTATAAACTTTATCGCTTTACCATCGATTCAACAATTCAATCTTTTTAATATGCTTAGAGTAAATCTCCGACTAATGCCTATAGAAGTAAACCTACTTCACCTACTCCAAAAGGTTCTCAAACTCCTAGAAGGTCTCATACACCAATAAGTTCTCATACCCCAAAGAGACCGAGCAGATTTCGGGAAGCTTCTCCAACCTTATCTGAAAAAACTGATCCTGATTCTGAAAAAAGTTCATCGATTATATCTCCAATAGAAGAAATTGACCATCATGGATCCATTGAACAAGCAATAAAATCAATAGAAGAACAACTAAAATTACAACAGCAAAAATTTGCTAAAAGATTATTATCTAGACAACACAGACCAGTAGAATATAGAAATGATACTTCTGCTCCTCCTGTGAAAAGCTCCAGCGGTAGGTCAAGGACTGAACCCTTTCCGCAAATGTCTTATTCAGGGAAGCCAATGAAAGTACAAACACTACCTTCGAACTCTCAAACGAAAAAAGTTGCACCAAAAACTGTTGCACAAATTAAAAATATTTGCACTTGTGGCGATCCTAATAGTCCTTGGTGTCATGTTTGCGAACTACGAAGATTTAAATCTGCATTTCCAAAATGGACTAGCGGTAATAAGATAGTTGATAACTTTATCAGAGAAACTCAATTAAATAGTTCATCTGAGTTGAATTATCTTGAATGGATAACATACGATCGATTTAGAGAGATTAAAGCTATTGGTGATGGAACTTATGCAAAGCTGTCTTCAGCTGTATGGCTGGATGGTCCGCGAATTTTACCTGATGAAAAAAAGAAATTTAAGAGAGAAATTCGGAAAAAAGTTATTCTAAGAGAACTACACAATTCTCAACAAATAACAGAGTCTTTCTTTAGTGAGGTTTGTATTAAAAATTAGATATACGGAGAAAGGAGAAAGGGACATCATGATGATGGTGGTGGTACTGTGTGGATTGAATATTTTAACTTGCCACATTATCTTCACCTTCATAATGATGTTCCTTTTCCTTTAAATTAATTGAATTTTGATTTTAAATGTTATAATATTTATTCAGATTAATCAATATATAAATATCTGTAACTTTATTTATTTTAGCTTGAAAAATACTATAATTCGATCATATGGAATGAGCATATTATGCATTGTTATGGCATGTCCAAGGATCCTACCACTAAAAACTTTATTATGGTTTTTGAGTACGTAGAAAATGGTGATTTGCATAACTTTTTAAGTGAAAATAATATAAATACGAGTTGGCAATCTAAATTAGCTCTAGCATGTGATATTTTAAAGGCTTTAAAAATTATCCATAATGTAGATATAATTCATCGTGATATTCATTGTGGTAACATCATGGTATTAAAGAATGGATTTATTGCTCTTGCAGATTTAGGATTATGTCGCAGTGTAGATGATTCCGAAGAAGATGGTCAAGTTAAATGTGTACTTCCTTATACTGCTCCAGAAATTATATTACGTAAAGAATATAGTAAAGCATCAGACATTTATAGTTTTGCAATGTTAATGTGGGAAATGTCAACTGGAAAAAGACCGTTCAGTGATAGAGCTCATGATGCTGATCTAGCTTTGGAAATATGTAATGGATTACGTCCGCCTATCGATAACACACCTTCTACTCCTCCTAGTTGGAATGCGTTAATGGAGCAATGTTGGGATAAAGATCCTTCAAAGAGACCTGATGTGAATACTTTGCATAAAACTCTTTATGATTGGTTAAAAAAAATTGTTGAAACACCGCGGCTTCCGTACAAAGTTAATTCCGAATTTGCTCTTGCTGAAAACTGGCGCTCTCATAAAGCTCATGCTCAAAGTTCTCAGGAAGAAGAAAAAATACATCCATTAGCATTTTATAATAGTCAAGATTTTGATTTTAGTGAATTACAGTCTTCACAAGTGGTGAGATACGGTTCTCCGGATGTTGACGTTAAGTGCGATACGCCACCTTCTGAGACTGAGAACACATTTGAACCACCACAATCACCAACCGAAAGCAATAGTAAGATCTCTGAAATAGAAATAATACTTATTTGTCTGACGTCTTAAAGTAAATATTAATATATTTTTTAACTATTTAATTTTAGGTTTTAAAGCGGACCAATCTGAACATTTAGAAGTTGAATTTTGATAATTCAATCATAATTATTGGTTCACAATGACTATTTAGATAAGTTTTGATATAATTTGTACTATGAATGTAAATTATGTTTTTTTTTTCAATTGTTAAATATGTTTGAGATGTTTGAAATGTCTCGAGTACTTCTAAGAAACTAGACTTAGATATTGTTATTAGCTGTGTTTTTGCCTTTTTTTTTTTTTTTTTGGTAAGACAGTGTGGTATATGTACTAGTTTTTTTTTTTTTTTTTTTTGAAAAAAAAAGAAAAAAAAAAAACTGCTAGAATTGGATTTAGTTTTGTATCTTGTTGCCTGGAAAAGTATTCTCATGTAGGTGGGTTTCCTACTTTTTACAAGACAAGTTCTGGTCAGCCTGATTGCTTATATAATTTGGCAATTTCGTGTACGAAGTACGGCAATTTTTCATTGGCAATTATACGTACCAACTCAATAATATAGAATCAATACATTTTATTAAGAGAAAAATCAGCATCTTAAATATGTTTTTGCTCGTATATTAATACGTATCTTCGTTAAGATTTAAATAAAATTTTACTGTAAGTTTGTTTGTTTGTTTGTTATAGCATATAAATTTTGGAAAAAATTCGTGATTTCCAATTACAAAATATGTATGAAATGTGGTCAATCACTTTATTTAAACGATATGATCGGCTGAAGCTAGTCTCTATTTAAAGATCTAAACCCTAATAAAATCCACTTCTACTTTTTTATTATAAACTTTAACTTTAAATCCTAATCTAACTATTAAAAAAAAAGATGCTCCCCAAGCATAAAGATTTTACATTAAAAATAGTTCATTCACATTAATTGAATTTTCATTTCATTCACACTAATTTTTAAGGACTCTATTCGTGAATATTTATCATTGCGTAACTTCACTAACTTCATTTTGCTCATGCTAATAAAATAGATAAGACATTTAAGTATTAAGATATTTGAAATAAGTCAACCAAGTTTATTTACTTTCATTCTATTTAATTTGCAGTGAACAATCATCATCATTATTGGGAATTTTTTAATCATGTTTTAGGTTTATGTCTTTTATGTTAGACATCAGTGAGCGGTAGTGCTAAATTGTGAAGTATGCGCAACTGACATTATTGCGGGGCTAATCTCATTATTCGTGAAAGGTGTATTATTACTCAACGAAAGGATAGGCATAGTTATGCTTTGTGAATCATTATCTAAACCTAAACATTTATTAATCCAGATTGCTTAGAAGTGTCTATTGGAATGACAGGGGTGATTTATGAATCGTTATCGAGAATACCTTTCATTGTTAATTTCTTCCCAGGTCATGAACTCTTTAGGATTAATTTGATAAGAATCCGCGATAGCTTTTCAGTTTTTGTTTTGGTAAATCATTTTCCGAAATACAAGTTTTATATGTGTGAACGAAGGAATTTTATGTGATTTCCACCTAGCAAGCTCTTCTGGCTTGGGGGAATTGGGGAAGGACTAGGCCTTTGAAAAATTGACACTATCGTTATTTGGTTGCGGTAAGAAAATAGAGGGTGTACCTGAATTTATCGTGTCAGATAAATAAAATAGGACTGATGTCGAAATTCAAGTGAATTGATGAGTGCGCTTATATTATCTTGATGACTTGAGAAAGTTTTGCTATTTTATGATATTTCAGTAGGATGATGTTGATCCAAAGTTTCGTAGGGCAAGTTGTTTTTAGAGTATTAAGGATTAATCCTGTTTCTGGTCGATTGGCAGGATCATTGTCCCAACATTGTTTGCAAAGTTCGATATATTGGGATGGAGTACCTTCTATAGGCTCTTCCCTTTTTCCTTGGAATATGTGAATAGCAGTTGAACATGCTGATTCAAAAGATTGAAGAGTGGTCTTCTATCTGAAATTCCCAGAGGATTAGTCCAAAGCTATAGACGTCAGATTTCTTATCACGGTTATATTTTTGATCGATAAAGCACTTAGGTTCGATAATAAATTTTCTACTCAAAAATTAGTTAACAATTTCGAGTTTTGTTTATGAGTGTATGTGAACCGCGTATATATTGTTCCAAGGTAAGCCGGCATTCCCTGAACGATTGAATTTGAAGCCATTTCATTCATTAATTTGCTTTGGTAGTCCAAAATCTGCAAGCTATTCTAACTGACATTATTGCGAAATTACTACTCTATGAATGGATAGGCATAGGACGCTTTGTGAATCGCTGTCTAGACCCAAATGGTTTAAATTTCGTAAAAACTCATCAGGTTGCTGAATTTTATCACTTTAGAAGCAACTGTTAGAATGACAAGCGTGATTTGTGAATCGTTATCGAGAATGCCTTTCTTTGTTAAATGTTCAATAATTTTTTCCAAGGTCATGACTCTTCAGTATTAATTTGATGAGAATCTGCAAAAGTTTTCAGCTTTTGTTTTGGTAAATTATTCTCCGTATTACGAACTTTTATTTGTGTGGACGGAGAAGTTCTATGCAATTTCCACCTAGCAAGTTTCCCTGACTTGGGAGGGACTGAGGAGGTCCTTTCTTACGTGTTTTCTCTCACCGCGACTATGTTTATTGGATTCACTTGAAACAGTCATACTAGAAACCGTTAGGGAACTAGCACAAGTCGAATTTTAGATCCAGTGCCAGTCGCGCGAGAAATAATTACTGAAGAAGAAGTATGATTTGTAGATTCAGCAACAACTATTGGTTTTTTTTCATCCAAAGCCATCGAAGATGAAATCTTTTCAGTAACATTATCAGCTAAAGTAGTTCTAAATTTCCGGAATCATCTGATTGATCAATTTATGTAATTCCAAGTATCCATAATAACGTAATAACAATATCAGTGTTGGCATTTGAACTATGCCCATTAAAAATTTTATTTGGACTTGGACAAATATGGACATTAACTAATCCAAAAATATTCATATTCATATTTTCTGCTGAAATTTTGGAATATTTAAAAATTTTACCCTAGCGCTAATTTTGATCTCTTTTTTTTATTTAAAATATTTTAAAACAGTAAGTTTACATGTTTGATTTGGACTGTGCTTTGTGTTCAATAAAAAAAATACAGTTGACCCTCCCTCATTAATGTCAACTCATTGAATGCCGTATTTGAAGTTGCCATCTATCTAAAGTTGCTACTTTATATCCAAAGTAGCTATTTCAGATGAGTAGCAACTTCAGATATCTAAAGTAACTACTTTATCTGAAGTGGCTGCTTTAAATATCTAAAGTAGCTACTTTAGATATCTAAAATAGCTACTTCAAATATCTAAGGTGGCTACTTTAGATATTTAAAATAGTTATTTTAGATATCTAAAGTGGCTACTTTAGATATCTAAAGTTGTCACTTCAGATATCTAAAGTAAACACTGAAGTTGCTACCTATTTGAAGTAACTACTTTAGATATTTGAAGTAGTTATATTAGATATTTAAAATAGCTACTTCAAATATCTAAAGCAGTCACTTCAGATATCTAAAATAGCTACTTTAAATATCTAAAATAACAGTTACTTCATATATGTGACAACTTCAGATATCTGAAGTAGCTACTTTAGATATCTAAAGTACCGTATTTTCGCGTAACTGCGCGTTATTTGAGTACGCGCATGAGCGTTATTTGAGACAATTAAAAAAATTTAAGTAATTCTTGTATAAACAAATAAAAATACTAGATTTGGTACTAAGTAAACCTTTAACAAAAGTTTTTCTGAAACCAACTTTTGTTGAAGTTCGAAAGTTTACTTAGTGCTAAATCCAGTTCCAAAGTATCTTTAAATCCTACAATAAATAAACATTCCTTACTATGGAGTGCGCGCTATTTTGGGACGCGCATGAGTGTTATTTTGAAACTATATTTATTATTTTTAGCGGACACAATTTTCGAAATGAGCGTTATTACGCGAAAATACGGTGCCACTTTAGATAGGGTGGTTACTTTAGATATCTAAAGTAGCCACCCATCTGAAGTAGCAACTTTAGGTATCTAAAGGATCTTCTATAGTATAGGTGGGCAAATACTGTAAATAAAGTATTATAAAATTATAATATATAAAAACTATTGAGTTAATCTAAACCGCGAGCTGCAACCAATTAAAAAAAACGACTTGCGGATTATAAAAATTTATAAAAATTTAGTTGCGCACATGAACATTTAATCGAAATTTATAGGTAAAATTTGCAAATTTATATGCGGAATCTGCCGATTATCAGATAATGTCAAGAACGGAGTAAAGAGTATGGTTTAATGGCAAGTGAAGTGGCACACCTAATTCGCATCTGATTGGATGATCCATCCTCATGATTTCATCTTAGATCCCTACATTTAAGTTTAAATAGTGCAATAAAAAAATGCAATAGGACGTTGTGTGATCAAAAGAAACATAATTTTATAATCATAATCGAGATATTTTAGTTAAACTGGATCTCCGGATCTTATAAAAAGAATCGCTTTCTGAACGATTACGGTATGATTTCCCGAAAGCCACTTCCCCGCCAACTCATTCCCCCGACACCATAATGTCGACATACTATTTCATCTACAGCACACTTTTTCGATAAGAAAGGACCTCCTCAGTCCCTCCCAAGTCAGGGAAACTTGCTAGGTG